CTTTGGTCCCGCTCCTTACACAGGCAAGCTACACACGAGGAGAGCGAATGCACATCTGCCAAAACTCAGCCACCACAGCCCGCTAATGCCGGGAAGATAAGGGGCTGCTGGGAAGAGGGGCTCTGACTGTCTCCGCTATCACGGCCTCTGAAGCCATAACCTCACCACATCTGGGAACAATCGGGCAGATTACAACAATGTTGCTTTCAGTTAGCCTAATGTTAAAACTGTGTTCTCTCACGAAAGAAAGATTTCAGCAGAGAGAGACAGGATTCTGACTCAAGCCAGCTGGTGGACTTTGAAGGGTAATTTCCACTTCAGTTCCTTGAAAGGAAAACGCGGAGAAGGGAAGACTTAACCTACAAAAACGCACACGCACGCTTTTGGAAACCCATTGGTTAGTGATCTTTACGGTATGCGCTGCTTCATCAATCAGTCTGTGTGAATCGAAGGGTCCTCCATGTTTGCTGTATTCCGGATTGAAATGCCACCCTTCATTGCAATGTCAACAAAAGCAGGTGCAGAGTTTTAGAAATGCCTACAAGGCAATCAACAATAGATCTAGAGATGCGGGTGCATATATTTATTATTTTTAAGGGAACTTGGTTACACTCTGAGCAGAAGAGGGTGACACAAAATTACTGGAAAGCTACTTGGCAAAATGTGTAAGAAATCATTAAAATCCTCCTTCAGCCAGGAATGTGCCACGCTATTTCCTCTACAGAAACTATCTAAACAGGAAAGAAAATGCTCAGAGACTCCCCCGCAGCTTCACGTGCCAAACTGAAATGCTGGAAACTACTTCGAAGGAAAGATAGGAACGGCGAGCCACGGAAGACCCATTGCCTCAACTCGGTGCAGCGTCTCCAGAGCGGCCCACGCGGCCCCAGACCACGAAGCCACGTGGGAAAATGCTTCTAACAAGCACGAGGGGAAGAGCAGGATGTGGAAGTGCCTCTGCCGGTGCTACAGGATCTAAAAAAGGAGGCTGAGGGCCAGAAAGAAACAGGAAAAGGGGAAAGCAGCTGGCAGGAACTATTCTGGGAGTGAGATCGTGTCGATTGTTCCTCCAACACAGCCTTTCCCGTTTGCTTTTAAACTATGAGGGGAGAAGGGGAAGCATGAGTGTTGCCATGAGACATTATAAACATTTATCACAGACCCTCCGCCTGCTGACATGGCTGGTGACGTTCAGTCCAGCACAGGACAGTTTTACCAATTCCCAGGTGAGTGAAAGCCCGGAATATGCGGAGACCAATCTGCCCGGCACTCCCGCACAGAAAGCCTCCCTCCTGTCATTTCCGCGGGAGGCGGGAAAGGACTCCCATCTATGAGGGAGATATCGCCATGGGGCTGCCGCGTGGCCCCCGGGGAGCACATGCCCTGACAGAGCAGCAGTCTGCTCGGGCCCAGCTCAGCTTCCATGCACGGCGCTGTCCAGATCTATGGTGCGATCTCCCCATTTTTAAGTAATCTGAGTACAAAAAAATGGCACAGACTGTAGGCTGGATGGGGCCTGCTGGCTGCTAATACTTTAAAGACCCTAAAGGAGGGGACGTGTTGATCTCTGGGGTCACGTGGCCGTCCAGAGGAGTCCACATGAGGACGTGTGAGTGTGTGAGTGTGTGTGTGTGTGTGTGTGTGTGTGTGTGTGTGTGTGATGGGAGGGACACGAGGGACTCGGACTGCCTTCCATGCCACCGGAGGAGACAGCAGACACCTGCAGGAGATACCCGAACGGGTCCGTCCCCCTATCTCCCGCCTGCCTCTCAACTGAGGAGGCGTCTCAGTCCCTTCTGCAGAGCGGTCACCAGAGGCTCTGAGGGTTGGGTCCTCGCACAGTGAGGATGACCAGCCCCTTTCTGTCTTCCTCGGGCCAGTGGCTTAGACAGACATGTCCTCGGGCCTGCTCTGGAAACACGGGTTCCTGTGACGCTGGGGCTTGTGTGCCTCACGCTCCGCCATTGCCATGCCGTGTCAGATGCCGGTCCTGACCACGGCCTACCGCACCGCCATGCTGTGGTTTTGGATGAGCCAATGGGCCTACACTCAGAGCACCTCTCCGTAGGGATCAAGCCTGTGTTCCTGGCCGGTGACCTAACTGCTCAGACGACTTGTGCTTTCGAAGGTGCACTGACCATTAAGGTCAGTGAGTCCCACCCACAGCCCCTCTCTGAAACCCAGTGCCAACCTGTGCGGATTCAGAGCGCTTGGCGCTCAAAAGCCACACGAGCAGAAGCGGCTGGGTTACCTGGCCACAAAGCTGGCAGTCTTGTCCACGATATTCCTGACCTCTGGAGGCGGGTAAATGATCCCCACCACGGGCTTGGAAGGGGTGGAATCCTCCTTGGAAGATGCTTCCTCTTCTGTGGGCTGGAAAAGAAGAAAACAAAGTCTTTAGTGCCTGGTCTGGGGCTGGACATCAGACTCTCCCGCGGACTTCCCTGGGGCCAGAACCCTCAGCTCCAGAGGGGGGGCTCCCTCACTGGCGCTGTGCTTGCGAGGGACCCTCCTGGGGATCAGTAAAAGCAGCAGCATCTTTCCTGGCTTCACCAGCTAGACCAGCGGTCGCCAACCTTTCAGACCCACGGACCACTGGCTGGCTGGCGACCTCTGAGCTAGACTGTGTCCATGACACCAGGAATCTGCATTTCTCCTAAGCGCCCAGGTGGTTCAGGTGCCAGTCTCGGATCATTCTGAGAAGCCACGTTCCAGAATCCAGAACATGGACCCATGTTCCAGAGCAAGCGACATGCTTGGCATGGGATACTTACTGATTGCTGAATTAATTTTTAAAAAAGAACTCCTTTGGGGCAGCTCCTTCTGCTTAAATGCCTTTTCTCTCTGCATCCACTCGCTCCAATGTTTTGTGAAACCGCACTGGACACTCAACATTAACCCTCCCTAAGTTCTAATCGTCTTTCCTCGCTGGTCTTCCTTTAGTAAACGAAGAGTCAGGTCTCTCATCTCAGAAAAATAAAGTTTCTCCTCTGCCCTCATATTCCTTCCTCCTCCTGCCTTCTCCCCACCCCTCTTCCTCTGCTAAACACCCTGAGTTCCCTCAGCCTTGCGTTCCCACTTCCTCACCCCCCACTTGGCCCCCATCCGTCACAAGTGCCCTTGTCAAAGTCAAAAACAGCTGCCGACGGCCAAGTGCAGCGGTCATCTGGCTGTGTGACCCATGCCCGCCCCTTACAAAACTCTCCGCCCAACTCCAGGCCCCATTCTCGCCCGTCATTCCTTCTTGCTCACCATGCCCCCCGAGAAACCTGTTCTGTAACGTCAGGCACCCCCAAAATCCTGTTCTTGGTTCTCTTCACAGTATTCACACCATCCTTACACTCACAGCCACCTCCTCGCTTCCTACCACCTCCAGCCTAAACAATCCCACCCACACGGATGCCCCGGACCACTCGGCACCCCGGAGCTTCAGATCAACTGCTTCCCAGGCACTTCTGTCACCTCTAACCGCTTTCCTCCTGAATGGCCACACAGGCACCTGGCCAACCAGGCCAGAAACGTGCTCCTCCTCCTCCCTCAATCTCCAAATTCAGTGACAACAGAGTAAGTGGCATACACCTTTCTAAGCACTTTACATATATTACCTTGTATCACCCTTATGGGGTTCCTATTGGGGTTCCTTGTATCACCCTATGAGGTAAGTAACGTAATTACCCCCATTTCACAGATGACAACACCGAGGACAAGAGAGCTTAACTGGCCCACGGAGCAACACACACTTGTGGAATATTCACGGGTACGTGGCCCCTTACTAGCTTATGAGCTAGCTCTCATTCATCCCAGGAACGTGGGACCCAGGCTCCATGTCTGGCTTAGACTGAGTACTGAGCAGATGCAGGAGAATTAGCATTCAAAGCTGGGACATTAGAAATTACTGAGCAGATCACTGGGGGCCCCGGTGGGCCCAATTGCCACAGGAGATGCGCGGGAGCTGTGTTTTCCCCAAACTTTAATGAATCACTTTGGGGTCTTGTTAAAATGCAGATTTCTATTACAGGAGCTGGGGTGTATTTATTTATTTATTTATCTATTTTTTAAATATATTTTATTGATTTTGTACAGGGAGGAAGGGAGAGAGAGAGAGAGCTAGAAACATCGATGAGAGAGAGTCATCGATCAGCTGCCTCTTGTATACCCCCTACTGGGGATATGCCCGCAGCTAAGGTACATGCCCTTGACCAGAATCGAACCCGGGACCCTTCAGTCCCCAAGCAGCCGACTCTCTATCCACTGAGCCAAACCGGTTTCGGTTTGTATTTATTTTTTTTAACATTTTAATTTTTTTAATTTAATGTTTCAATTACAGTATGCATTCAATATTATTTGCATCCGTTCCCAGCGTATAGCATAGCTGCTACTCATATATACTTTACGAAAGTATATTTTGTATACTTTTGTGTACTCCTCCCCATATTTCCACCTGACACCATACACAGTTATTGTAATATCACTGACGATATTTCCTATGCTGTGCTTTCCAGACTCCGCATTTAATAACCTCCCAGAAGCTGGGGTCCGCAGGCCACACTGGGGAGAGCCGCGGTCCCAGCGCGCTGCCTCCTGGGACTTGTAGTTCCTCCAAGGCCTCCTAAGCGGCCGCTACTTCCAGCGAACGTGAGGCGCGCCGAGGCCTAGGCCCGGGCTGCCGGTCCCGGTGAGCGGGCTCACGATACCTGTTTGGGCTCCGTGGCCACGGGGGGCGGCGGGGGCACCGCCTGCACGGGTCCCGCCGGCATGACTGCGACGCTCAGGGCTGCCAGTCCGCCTCGGTGTGGGTGAGCGGCGCGGCCTCACAGCGGCTTCCCCGCGGCGGCGGCGCTACCACAAGTCCACAAGATGGCGGCGGCCGAGTGAGCCGTCACCCGGGAGGCGAGGCTGACGCGCACTTCCGGTCCCGCCTCCCCTGCGCATGCGCTGTTCCCGCACCGCCCCCCCCCTGCCGGAGTGGCGGGTGCCGGACGCCGTTGCCATGGCAGCGATCGGGGCGCCGGGAGAGGGTTTGCTGGGGTTCCCTGGAGCTGCGGGCGCGCCGGGGGCCAGTTCCATGAGCCGGCACAAAGCGGGGGCCGAAGCTGCGACACCAGAGACCGGTAAGAAGTTCTGCATCACCCGCCGGACGCCCCCCGCCTGCACCCCACGGCCCTAGCCCCCCGCTCCCCCCTCCCCTACTCCAAGCCGGTCCCTCGCCGCTCCAACCCGCCTTCCTTTCCCCAGCTCCCTCCCATGGGCCTCTCACCTTGGAGAGCCACACCCCTCGGGCCTGCCTCCTCAAAGCCCCCCATCTTACCCCCTCAGCCCCTCTTTTTTAAAAAAAAAATATATTTTATTGATTTTTTATTTTTATTTTTTTATTTTATATTTTATTGATTTTTTACAGAGAGGAAGGGAGATAGAGAGCCAGAAACGTCGATGAGAGAGAAACATCGACCATCCCCACTGGGGATGTGCCCGCAACCAACATACATGCCCTTGACCAGAATCGAACCCGGGACCTTTCAGTCCGCAGACCGACGCTCTACCACTGAGCCAAACCGGTTTCGGCATTTTATTTTTATTTTTAAAATATATTTTGATTGTTTACAGAGAGGAAGGGAGAGGGATAGAGAGCTAGAAACATCGATGAGAGAGAAACATCGACCAGCTGCCTCTTGCTCACCCCCCACCGGGGATGTGCCCGCAACCAATGTACATGCCCTTGACCGGAATCGAACCTGGGACCCTTCAGTTCACAGGCCGACGCTGTATCCACTGAGCTGGACCCTTTTCCCTGGGGGCCTGCCTTGTCTAGGTTCCACCCGCTGCCTCCCCTTGTCCCCCCTGCAAGCCCCACATGGGCCATCTCCAGGAGGGGCTGCTTCCGTTATTTTTTTAATTTATCTTGATTGTTGAAAATAGAACAGATGTCCCTGTTGTCCCCACCCCTCACTCTGGGGCCGCTTCTTTGGGCTCCACCCCTCACTCCCACAGGGGCCTCCCAGATCCCCGAGGAATCCCATCTTTTTGTTTCCACCCCTGCGATCCTCCCCCTCCCTGTCCTCTCTCCTCTCCCGCCCAGCCCCTGCAGGCAGGCAGGCTCCGAGCGCTCGCCTGGACTTTGGCTTCCTCGTCTGTGAAATGGGGCCGTGATAGGAAGGGATGCCTTCTCGCATCTTCCCTGACACCCCTCCCCCCATAAGCAGTTCGCGTCAGCGTCATGCGTGTAGAATAATAACCATAGCTGGGATGTCTCCAACATGACCACGAGCCAGACTCTGTGCCGAGCATCACAGGCGGCATGTCATTTATTTCTTATGGCAGCTCGTGGGGTGCAGTGGGAACCCAGGCCCGGCCGCTCTCAGTCCTTCTCCTCCAGCAGTTAACTTATTCCTTGGTGGTCACTCCGTGTCTTCACTGTCCCCAGGGATCCGGGCAATTAGCAACCCTGAGTCAGAGACGAGCAGCCGCCACAGATGTGGTTTGAGGGTTCAGAAAGGGCATGGTTACCGTGGTGACCTCGCATCTCGGTGGGCGCGGAGCTGGGCGGGCTGGCAGCCTCAGAAATTCGAAAGCCTTCCCCTGACACATACCTACGTGGTTTCCAAACCGCGCTCATATCTGCACATCTCCCGTGTCCCTCGTAGTCGGCAAGGTACACGACGCTGCTCTTCCTTGTCGGTTGACATTTGCGCTGCTATCAGAACCCGGGATCTTTATGAACAACAAACACGTAACTATCAACAAGTGAACCTAAAAACCAAGGGAATTAAAAAACCTGATGAACATTATTAACTGTTGAATAGAATAGAATCAGAGGTGTGGAAGGGGAGTGGACTGATGATTCTCAGGGAAAAGGGGAGTGGGGGTGGGGGAAGAGACTGAACATAAACTGTGCACCTGTGGATGAGGACAATGGCGGGGGGGGGGGGGCAGAGGGTGGGGTGGAACCTGGTGGAGGGGAGCCATGGAGGGGGGGCGGGGGGGAAATGAAGAACTTTTGTAATAATATGAACAATAAAGATTTATTTAAAAAAAAAAAAAAGCAAGTTTACACGTAAACAAGTTTGCTCTCAATTCCCAGGGCAGAAAAAAAAAAACAAGGTTTAAAATTATTAGATTTTAGAATTTATTCTTGGAAGTGTAAAAGTTTATTAATTAAAAAACAACAACAACAACAACAAAAGGAGATTGAAAAACCTGATGAACAATAATAGCAGTTCATTGTAGTAGAGTCGGCAATATGGGAGGGGAGTGGACTGACTGTTCTCGGGGAAAGGGAGGGAGGAAGAGACTGAACATAAACTGTGCACCTATGGATGAGGACAATAGGGGGTGGGGAGGGGGTGGAGGATGGGGTGGGAACCTGGTGGAGGGGGGAAGAAATGAGGAACCTTTGTAATAATATGAACAATAAAGATTGATATAAAAAAAAACAAAAACGGGGATCTCACGCGAGTTGGGATCTGGGCAGGCTCCGGAATGCCAGGGCCTCCTCCCAGGGTGGCGTCGCTGGCTGGCTCTCTGCCCGCCCTCTTCGGGAAGGGGAACCAGGACACGTGTCTGTTTTTCTCTGCTGGTTTCAGCCTCGTTCTTCGGGGACATAAAATCTCAGGAGCGGCAGTGTCTCCCGAGAGGCAGTCACTGAAGCAACACACGTGTGAGGCCCACGGGCCTGTGTGTGTTTGCGTGCGTACGCGAGTGTTGGGGGCAGATGCTCTGTGCCCTGTGGGAGGGACTGACACAGCTGGCACACCTTCTGCAGAGACCCTCTTGACACAGATCATGGTTCCTCCCTGTACCGCGTGCCCAGCACATAGTAGGCCCTCAGGCATCGCATGCTGGATAAACACACAGGATCTGGTGAATACGGCGGGGGGGACTTCCAGGCAAGATCTTTTAACGTGTCTTTAACTGGTTTTGAAGTGTGCGATGGTGTGTCATCATGAAGCAAAATTACTTGGCCGTGTCTTCTGGCCCATTTTACAATCAAAGGTGGTTCACATCAATTATTTGTTGTCGGTAGCGATCAGTATTAATGGCTTCAACTGGTTTAGAAGCTCATAATACGCCACACCTTCCTGATCCCACCAGACTCAGAGCATTGTCTTCTTTCCGAAGCATTTGGACTTGCAGTCGATGTTGATGGTTGCCCTGGATCAACCCGTAATTTTGTGCATTTGGGATTCTCAAACGCACAACATTACTTTCCGCAAATGCTTTTTTTTTTGGCACAAAATTTGACATTTTTAATCCTAAAAATATTTATGATGTTAACACCTTCAGAAAATTTGGCATATGACGTTTTGAAGCTTGTTGTCAATACAACATAGCATACACATCAAATCGCATACATATGTGTAACTCCATCAATTGAAAAAATCCGCATTATTCACCGGCTCACCTGGTAGGCCGGAGGAAAACGCGTTTCCCAGCTAGTTCTGGACTTTCTGCTGTTGAGAATCCACAGAAGACAAGCCTTCCCTGGACCCCCCCACCCCCACCCTGTAAGGGTCAGGGTTCAGCCTCCACGGGGCTGCCCAGCCGGGAACAGAGTGCTGGCTCGGACAGCGCCCGCCGGGGGCACGGGAGGGGCCACGGGAGGGGCGGGAACAGTGTCTGTCGCTTGCCCGCCTTCCGAGTCGCGGGCCATGAGCACAGTTCACCCAAATCCCAGGTCCACAGACTCTGAAGATGGACAAGAAGCGTCCTGTGTGGGCCGCAGGGACAGAGGGGAGACGGAGCAGGCAGACAGCCGCCCCCGACCGGGGTGGCCCGTGCTGTTGTTGCACTAACCATGTGATCACCATCGTCCTAACTATTACCCATGGGGAGCTTTTTAAAAAATATATATAATTTATTGAATTTTTACAGAGAGGAAGGGAGAGAGATAGAGAGTTAGAAACATCGATGAGAGAGGAACATCTACCAGCCGCCTCCTGCACACCCCCTATTGGGGATGTGCCCGCAACCAAGGTACACGCCCTTGACGGGAACCGAACCCGGGACCCTTCAGTCCGCCGCCCGATGCCCTATCCACTGAGCCACACCGGTCAGGGCCATGGGGAGCTTTTATCGGCGTCTTATCCGAACCCAGCGCTTTGCTCGCAGACGCCTGCAAAGGCCTCCGAGGGCCAGGTGGCCCGGGGTTGGTGAGCAGGCTCCCCCCCACACCGGGGCCTGGGCCCAGGAGCCAGGGGGCAGCCCGGGGCCGAGGCAGGTCCCGGTAGCCACAGCCACGTGGCTCCGGCTGACGGGGCTGCTCTCTGCCCACCCCAGGGGCCCTGAGGATGGCTCACCTGCTGGGCAGCCAGGCCTGCATGGACAGCCTGCGCCAGGACCTCACCGACCTGCAGGGCACCATCGTCGACGTCTTCTCCCGGGCCGGCCCCGTGCGCTTCCCCTCCTGGAAGTTCCCCGACCACGTGGCCTGTGACCTGGACATGGTGGCCCTGCTCGAGCACTATGACCACGTGCCGGGGGACCCCGAGTTCACCCAGCTGTCCCACGCCGTGCTCCTGGAGCTGGTCATTGACAGGTGAGGGCCCCGACCGACCTGCTGTCCTCGGGGTGCTGAGACACACACACACACACACACCCCCGTAAGCCGGCAGCAGCCACGGGACCCCCGCCCCTGGTAGCGACGTTGGTGGCAGCCGTGGCCTCTGAGCACCGCGGGGGGCCAGGTCCGCTCGGGGCCCTCCCGGTGGTCCCTCCTGTGCCGTGTGCGGTGCTGTCCTCGCCCGTCCGCCCTCGGGGCGTTGCCGGCCGTTCTGCCGGGCTCCGTGGCTCCCTGGCTCTGACCACGGCCCCTCTGGCCGCTTCCAGCTGCCTCCTCGGGGTCTCATGTGTCGGGGACCCCACAGCGGCCATTCAGAGTTTCTCTCCTGGCATCGGTGGGCCGTGCTGTTCCCGCCTGCGGGCTGTGTCGTGGGGCCAGACGTGGGCTGTGTTTCCCGAACCCTGGCCCTGCTGGGAAGAGGCCAGTGGATCCTCCACACACACACCCCCACCCCCACCTGCACGCCCCCGACACCCTGTGCTGTTAGTAACATTAGCACGGTCCTTCGCTTTCCCTTCCCGTCCCCCTGCTCCCAAACCTTGCTAATGGGGCCCGTCCAGCAGGGACCCCAGCGGCTGGGGGATGCCGCCGGCCTGAGACCAGGAAGCCAGGGCGCCCACCCACCCCGAGGCCTGGAGAAGCCCCCGGCGTCCGTTTGGAGCCGGTGTGGGGCTGACTGTGTGCGCACAGACCACCCCTTCCTGCCTTCCGCCGCCACCGCAGGGCGCGTGCTGTGCCCTCCTCCGGACTGCTCTGCGCCCCTCGTCCCTGCAGGCCCCGCGTGCGCGGCCCCCTCTGTGTCTTCCCACCCCTTCCCTCCCTCCTCCCTCTGCCCACCCCCTGCCGGGTCAGCCAGAGCCTCGCTGGCTTCCACGTGTGCATTCCGCCCGCAGAGGCCGCCGTCTGAGCCATGGGGGCCCGGGGGAAAGGGCCCTGACACCGGCTCAGGCTGTCGCGTGGGGAGGGGCCCAGCGCACGTCGAGGGGGTGATGGGCAGGGCTGAAGGCCATGCAGGCGGCCCAGCAGCATCCCACCGAGACGGTCTCCTCCTGGCTGAGCGGACGGCGCTCTGTAAGGCCGCGCCACTCCCTCTCTCCGAGTGCGCTCCCGCCCAGCGCTGCTCGCCTGTGAGCGGGCACACTGACCCCTCTGTTCTCGGACACCTCGGCCGAGAGAGGCAGGGCCTGGAGCAGTGGGCACCACCTCCCCTTGGCGCACTCTGCCCAGGGCCAGTGGGTTAGGGTGACCCCTGCACCTGCAGCAACGGGTCACTTAGCCACCTGGGCGTTTTGTGAGAGCTTGGTTCCCGGGCAAATACAAATACAAACATCCCCCCAACACCCATCTTCCTTAGAGTAAGCCCCTGGCTCTGACCTTGACCTCAGAGGTCAGGATGGAGGCCTAGCTCGCTTCACCCCAAGTTTCCATGGCCTCAGGAGCAGCTTGCCCCTCAGAGCCCCCCCTTACCCCCAAACCCCCCAACTAGAATCAGGAAATTGCAGGGCGCCCGGCCCTGCACGCTCACCGGGCGGCTGTGGGCAAGCTCCTCCCCGCTCAGGACTCGGCTCGGTCCCCTGTAAGGCGAAGGCTCGAACCCTGCGCCGTGCCGCGAGGCAGCCGCTTGCCCAGCACTCTGAGCACGCAGGCCGCCCGGAGGCTGGGCCCGGCTCCCAGAGCTCCCTCCCGGAGCAGCACGCCGGGACAGTGCGGGCGGGCAGAGCTGCACCGAGAAGGCCCCAGGCTCGGCAGGGAGGGCTTCCCGGAGGAGGCGGCCCTGGGGTGGGTTTGCAGCCGGCCTGGCAGAGCGTGTGCTGAGACGCACCAGGCCCCGGTGCCCGGGCCGGTTTCCCGGAGTCAGAGGTGCCGACGGCACGGCGGGGGGCGCGCTGGCACCGGCCCTGACCCCGTGCCCCTGCCCGCAGGCTCCTGCTGCTGCTGCAGAGCTGTGCCAGCTACCTGGAGGCCCTCAGCTCGGAGCAGACGGTGCCCCCGGCCCGGGCGCTGGGGCCCTGCATGTCCGTGGGGCTCACCGTTCGGCGCTTCTGGAACAGCCTGCTGAAGCTGGGCCTGCTCTACCAGCAGATGCTCTCCCAGGTGGGTCAGCCGGCCCCCTTCCCTCACACCAGCCCCCCTGCCGCCACCCCCCCACCCCGGCCCGGCACACCGTACGGGCCGTGCCCGCTCCTGGCTCCACCCCGCTGAGGGACAGCGTCAGCTCCAGAGCCGCCCAGTCGAGCCCCGTGTCCCAGCACAGGCCTCGGGGACACGGGCGGGCCGCCGGGCTCTGCTCTCCCTGCAGGACACTGGGCACACGCCGCCTCCTCGGAGCCTCAGTCTGCTCGCCTGTGCAATGGGAGCAACGGCGGTCCCCCCCTCCCAGGGCGTTGTCGGGTGATAGTGTTCGTAGGAGCACCATGGCTGAGGGTCATCCCGTCGTCCTCACGGCCACCCAGAGGGAGGACCACGGTCGCCCCGATGGGAGAGGAATGACACCGAGGGCCGCGGGGACCCCAGAGCAGTCACGTCCCCTGGGAAAGAGCCCGGCACCCGCCCCAGGCCGGTCACTGTCCCTCTCCCGGCCTCATAGAGGGAACTGCCTCGAGGCGGGGTGGGGGGGTCGGGGGTGGGGAGCAGCAGAGAGGAGGCCCGGGCTTAGGGACTCCGGCAGCGGAGGGACAGAAAAAGGTTCTTTAGTTCACCTTGGTGTTCACCAACAGCTGAGGGCTTGAGCCTCGGGTGACACTGTCACTGAAACCCCAAGGGCCCTGAAACCAGTGTGGTTCAGTGGATAGATCGTAGGCCTGCTGACTGAAAGGTCCCAGGTTCGATTCCCGCCAAGGGCATGTACATTGGTTGCAGGCACATCCCCAATAGGAGGTGTGTAAGAGGCAGCTGGTCAATGTTTCTCTCTCATCGACGTATCTAGCTTTCTATCCCTCTCCCTTCCTCTCTGTAAAAAAATCAATAAAGTATATTTTTAAGAAAATAAATAAAATGAAACCCCAGGGGAGCGGTCCCCTCCCAGGCCTGTCACCCCCCGCCCCCTTACCTGCTTTCCCTTTCTCTTCCCGAACACAGAAAAGGGCCTGTGGAGACCCCCATCTCCAAGGGGAGGCCCCCCTCTCCAAGCCCACGGCCAAGGGCGAGCCCGCCAGGAACCCCGAGTTTGTGACGGCCAAGTTCATCAAGCCCCCCTCCCCGATTCCAGGCCTGCCCCCCGCCTGCCAGGAGCCCGGCAGCCTCTCGGTGCGCGTCTCCCTGCACCCACCGGCCCGGCCCGCCGAGGGCACCCGCAGCGTCCACTCGCAGACGGTGGAGACGGCCCTGGTGCCCTGCGACGCCTGCGCCAGCGTGCAGGGCAGCCTGCGGGAGGTGGGCCGGGCACTCATTGGCCTGTGCCAGAGCCAGAACCTGCCCTCGTCCCTCGGCCACTTCCAGCAGCTGGTGCAGAGCGGCACGGGCCTCAAGCCGCTGCCCGCGGCCACCGTGGGCCACTGGGCGGCCGAGCAGAGCCGGGACCTGGCCCGCCTGGGCAAGCACATGGGGGCCCTCACGCAGCTGGTGGGGCCGCTGCGGGCACAGCTGGAGGAGGCGGAGGAGCAGAAGGGCGGCCTGCGGGCGCAGCTGGGCCAGCTGGAGCAGGCGCTGCGGCAGGAGCAGGGCCAGCGGCAGCGGCAGGCGGACGAGGCCCAGCAGCAGCAGGCCCGGTGGGAGCGGGACAGGCAGCAGCTGCTCGCAGGTCTGTGTCCTGCGGGCCGGGCCCTCGCGCCTCTTCCCCCGGGGAGCCCTCCCTGCGGGCTCTGTGCAGCCTCCGGCCTCCGTGTGGGCTCTGCCCGCTGCAGACCCTGCCCCGGGGCTGCTGGACAAGCAGGGGGGCGGGGAGCCCTGGCTGGGGAGTGGGCCGCAGGGCAGGGCGGGAAGGCAGTCAAAACAGTACAGTCAGGAGGCCGGTGCCACCCCGGCAACTGGGGCGTGAGCCCACGGGGACCCCCTTGGCCAGGGCAGAGCAGGCACCCCAGAGCTGTCCCCTCCGAAGGGCCAGGGCGCGGGGCATTCACCCACCGGCTCCTGCTGGCTCCCCAAGGGGCTCCTGGGAGTTTCCCCCATGGCACCTCTGGCCAGCAGGGTGGCCTCTGGCTTTGGCAAAAGCTGTCAGGCAAAGGACACGGCCACTGGCACTGGAAGTCGGCCGGCGCCCGCTGACGTGAGGCCGGAGGGAGCTGGGCAGAGCCCTCGCGTGGCCCCCGCGGGGGACACGGGTCCCGGGAGGGGGGAAGACACGGCAGCCGGCCCGCTGGAGGCAGCGCGGCCGGGGACCCGGCTCCCCGGAGCTCCCCTCCGGCCCAGGTGGCGCCTCCGCAGGGCACGGCTGCCGCCACTCTCCAGGGCACCCCGGGCACGCAGGCCGCCGGCCGGGCCTCCGGAGGGGGCCTCTGAGGGGACTCTCTCTCGGCTGCACAGAAACGGGCGAGCTCAGGAGGAAGGTGGCCGCCCTGGAGGGGGAGCTGAAGCAGCAGCAGGAGACCACGCAGGCCGTGGGTGAGGAGCCCTGACATGTGCCCCGTGCCCCGTTCCCCGTGCCCCGTGCTCCATCTCCGTCCCCTGGGCTCCTGGCGCAGAGGTGAAGGGGACAGCACGGGCCTGAGCGACCACACTGCTGGGTAGTGACCCGAACGGGGGTGCCACTTCCGTTTTCAGAACCCACCTCAGATGGGGTTCGAGCACCACGTTCTGGCCAATGACGCAGCCCCAGGGACGTGCTGTGACACATCCCCCCGGTGCTAGCCTGGGGCCGGGGCCGGGCGGGGGCCCGCACCCAGGGCCCCCCAGCCCTGTCCTTTCCTGCGCCCGCTCCATCCCACAGAGGCGAAGGCCCAGCAGCTGCAGGAGGAGGCCGAGCGCAGGGCGGAGGCCGAGAGGCGGGTGCGGCAGCTGGAGGAGCAGGTGCAGCTGCTGGCCGGGAGGCTGGACGGGGCCAGCCAGCAGATCCGCTGGGCCGGCACCGAGCTGGACAAGGAGAAGGCCCGCGTGGACAGCATGGTCCGCCACCAGGAGGTGAGGCCAGCGCCCTGGCTGCCTGTGTTGTGGGCTTCCGGGAGAGGGCTCCGCTGGGGGGGGGTTCTGTGTAAGGTGCCTGCCCCCCCCCCACACACACACACAGGGTTTGGGTTGACTCACCTCTATGAAGGATCTGCGCCTCCCCTGGCCAGGCACTGGGGGAACGGCCACCCTCTAACCCCTTGCCTCTCACACGTGTGCACAGCCCACCCACTCACCCCCCCCAACACACACACACACACACACACACACACACACACACACTGGCTGGCTGGGTTCAAAAGCGAGGGCTGGGGGCAGAGGTCACAGACACTGTCGCCTCCTTAGTCCCACATGGCTCAGCCGAGCCCCATGGGCCTCACGGCCTCCCCGCCCGCCCATCCCGGCCCAGTCCCTGCAGGCCAAGCAGCGGGCGCTGCTGCAGCAGCTGGACAGCCTGGACCAGGAGCGCGAGGAGCTGCAGGGCGGCCTGGCCGAGGCCGAGGCCCAGCGGGCCCACCTGGAGGAGCAGCTGCGGAGCGCGCAGAGCGAGCGGGAGCAGGGGCAGTGCCAGCTCCAGGCCCAGCAGGTGGGCGCGGGCAGGGGGAGGGGGAGGAGCCCCCAGGGAGCCGGGTGCCCGCAGGCCCGTCCCACGTCCAGGGAGTAGGAGGGCTGGGTGTCCCCGGGGGAGCAGGTCTGAGCCTCCCCCTGCCCCAGGAGCTGCTGCAGAGCCTGCACAGGGAGAAGCAGGGCCTGGAGCGGGCGGCCACGGACCTGCGGCTGACCGTCTCGGGGCTGGAGCGGGAGCTCGAGGCGCTGAGAGAGCGGGAGCGGCTGCTGGTGGCCTTCCCGGACCTGCACAGGCCCGCCGAGACCCAGGGCCAAAGTAAGGGCCGCCCCCCCCCCCCGGGTGGTGCACGGGACACACGGGGACCCAGGGCGGCGGGACCTGGGGGTCTGCAACGCCCCAGCTTGTATGGACGGGGACATGAAGCCAGAGGTGAGGTACCTGCCCAGGTCACACAGTCCCATCCACACGCAGGTCTGGCTCCCTGTGTGGACTGCCCATCACCACGTCACTGCCAGTCCTCGCTAGCCGTCCCCGGGCCCCTGTCCGGGCATCTCCCAGAGCACACGATGCGGCCTGCTCCAGGGCACACCCCACCGTCCAGGGTCCCGGACCCCATGGCCGGGCGTGCTAGGGACCGTTTCAGCAGCGGACCTGGGTCCTGGGTCCTGGTCCGGCCCTGCAGCCCTCCCTCTCAGCCCCGGGGGCGGGTCCAGTCACGAGCCCCGGGGAGATCCAGGCAGTCTCACCGGCCTCCAGGAGCCGTCATCCCGAGCGCGGACCTGTCGCTGGGTGCCGGACCCCGTGGCCCTCTCCGCGGCCCTGCCAGGCGGGAGCAGCCGCTGCAAACCCAGAACCAGAGGGCAGGGGCTCGCCCCGGTCATTTCAGCCCCAAGGAAGCATGACTCCCTGCAGGACGGAAAGCGCGTCCTTGCCGAGTGCCTGGCTCGCGCCCAGGAGCGGCCGCGTGGCTGTGGGCAGCGCGCTGTCTCTCTGGCCTTCCAGAAACAGGCCTGTCCGTTTGCTAGGTCTTCACCCAGCTCTGGTTCTATAATGTCGTCTCCAGTGGGGGCGGGGGGAGGGGGCGGGGAGGGAGGCCAGGCCTCGGGAGAGGGAGGAGGATGGGAGGCCCGTGCAGGACCCTGCCCGGCTCCCCTGTGCCTACTGGGCCACCCACCATGCCTGCCTCCGAGGCCCTGTCCCGCCGGGCACCAGAGGCAGACCTGGCGGGCGAGGGCCTGGGTAACCTGTCCCTGCAGGCTCCGGCAACGTCATGGACGACATGGAGAGGCAGGTGCAGGCCAACGACATCCGCATCCAGGTCCTGCAGAAGGAGAACGGGCGGCTCCAGGCCATGCTGTCCAAGATTCGGGAGGTGGCCCAGCAGGGGGCGCTCAAGGTGGGCAGCCTGGTCCTCACCCGAAAGCTGGCTCTTGGACACGGGTTAAGATGGGGATGTCACTGCCTCGGGCTCCATGTCCTCCGCTCCGGCCCTGCGTACTCTCACTAGAGGCCTGGTGCATGAGGTTCGTGCACTGGGGGGAGGGGAGGATGTATGGGGGGGCCCTCAGCCTGGCCTGCACCCTCTCACAGCCCAGGACCCCTCGCTCCTTACGTCCTGCCTGCCGTGGAGGCGGGAGAGGCTTCTGCCACCACCACCGCTGTGCTTCTGGCTGAGCGGCCCTCCCCGTGGGAGCGCACTGACCACCAGGGCCGGCTCCTGCGTCGAGCATCTGCCCTCTGGTGGTCAGTGCAGGTCACAGCGACAGTAGTTCCGCCGTTTGGTCGATTTGCATGTTACGGTTTTAGGACATAGGAAGTGCGCTCAGGAGCCTCGTGGGAAAGCAAACCTGGAGGCTCCCCCAGCCCCGCCCCTCAGAGGAAGGGCCATGGGCACAGGCCGGGCCCCCCTCGCTCTCGGGCTGTGCCACCCTCTGAACAGGAGGCGCCTGGGTCCTTCTGAGCTCGGCTGGCTCTCTTCGCAGCTGATCCCGCAGGACCAGCTCTGGGCCCGGCCCAGCCAGGGAGTCCAGGGGGCAGCAGCCCCCGCCCCGGCCCAGAGAGCGTCCCCGCGGTGAGTGAGGCGTGGCCGGAGGAGGAGGGGCTGACGGGCGGGCCATCCCTCCTGCTCACGGGGCCTCCTGCCGTCTGGTCCTCCGCAGGCCTCTGGGCAGGTGGCACTCCCCGGGCAGCAGGGCAGCCAGCGCGGGCAAGACTCTGCCGGGCCAGCGCCGGGCATCGCCGTCCTCGCAGACCGGCGGCCGATCCAGCAAGTCCTCCCTGGAGGACGTCACCTACTCCACCACCTGCGCCCAGAACCCCATCCAGGTCTTGGCCCGGCTCAGGAGGAGACTGTCACCGAGCCGGGGGCCGGCCGGCTCTGCCCACCAGCTCCGGGAGCCGCCCATGTAGCCTGCGGTGGGTGGGGCTAGAGGGCAGGCAGCTGGCAGCCCACCCGACAGAATAAAGCCAGGCCGCCACCCACAGCGACCGGCCTCCCAGCGCCGTCTGAGCCCGGGCAGAGCCTGCCCACCCCGTCCTGGGCAGGGACCACCAGGCCCCGCCACTGAGATCATCGCCTGCAGAGGCCTGGCACACCCTGGGCCTCAGTTAATGGGGGCTCCTGACGGACGGCAGAGGGAGAAGAGGGCACACCGAGGGCAGAGAGAGGCTCCTAGCATCTGGGCCAGGGGACAGGCAGCCCTTTGATCCCCATGGCTAGGGCCGAAGGGGACTTGGTAACACCCAGCGAAGGGCGGGGTCAGTGGAAGGGTGTGCAGCGGGGAGAGCGGCTGGAGGTGGGTCCGATGGGGGTACACGAGCTGAGAAAGGAGCCTGAGGCCGGGGTCCCTGCTCTGGGCAATGGCACCTTCCCTCAGGCCGGCCCTGAGGACGTTCAAGACTCCGTTCTCTGCGGAGTCCCCTCCGGAAGTGGAAGCCATAAAGGTTCCTCTGGATCCGGGAGATTGGATCCCCAGGAGGCCTGAGAGCAGGGCAGGGCCCCGCCGAGCCTGATCGGCACCCCGCCAGCCCCGGCTCTCCCCGGCCTGACCCCGGGGCCGGCACCGTGCCACCCGCCAGGCCAGCCCATTGCCGTCCGGCTGCCTCCGGGCCTGCAGCCGCCCCGAGCCACACTGTGAGGGACAGGCCCGAGACCCTGCTGAGGACTGGGGGTGCGCGCTCCCAGCTTCTGACATCGCCCCCCGGTGAGGAGGCTGCAGGCGGGCACCCCGGTTTCAGAGAAGGGTGCCCAGGGGCCACTGGCACGGCCGTGCAGCCCGGGTCCCGGTGCGGCCGGAGCCCGGGCCCCGGTGCGGGGAAGGACAGCACAGCCAGCTGCTCAGCACCCTCAGCTCCCGGCTCTGTGTTCACACGTCCCGGCCGGCGGGGCAGGCTCTTAAGAAGCTGACATCAAAGTACCGTATTTTTCGGACCGTAAGACGCACTGGACCATAAGATGCACCAGTTTTTAGAGAAGGGAAATGAAGAAAAAAAGATTCTGAAACAAATAGTGTCCTAAAATATTTTATGGGCATTAAAACCCAACATCACAGTCATAAACACATGTAATCAACCCTGTAAAGTAAACAGCAGCATTTAGAACCATTTTAGAGCCGGGCAAGCACACAGAGACCACACAGAGCCGGGCAAGTAAAAAAACTTTTTTTTTTAAGTATATGTGTAGGCTATATTTGGACCATAAGACACAGGGACTTTCCCCCCCCACTTCTGGGGGGAAAAAAGTGCGTCTTATGGTCCGAAAAATACGGTACCTGTCAGGCTGCGTTCCGTCCGGCTCCAGGGAAGCATCCAGCTCCTCTGGTCCTGGCAGAGTGCTGGCCCCGAGGCCTGGTTCCAGGCCGATGGCTGTCGCTGGGCTGCACAGGCTCAGAGGCCCGGCCCTCCTTGCTGCGGGGCCCCTCCATCTCCAAGTCCGCAGCGAAGCATCCCTCATGGGGCCGGGGGAAGCCCACTCGCTGTCCCTCTCAGGGACACTTCATCACGGAGTCAAGGCCATTCACGGCCTAATTGCAGGGCTGGGCAGGCTTGCCCACCTCCCTCAGGCAGGAGGGCCCAAGGCTTGTTTTTTTAACCTTAAAACATCCACACACGTCTTATTTCTTACGTTAAAATACATCCGTGTTTATTTTAATGTTAAGCCACCTCCCCTGCCCCCAGTCTTTAAAAAAATGGATGCCCCTGGGGGATGCACCACATTTATCCGGGGCTTCACGTGTCCTGGGCAGTGACCCCCCACCGAGGGGCACGGCCTGGATGGCTTCTGTGGGCCCTGGCCTCTTGGGCAGGAGGGGCCCGCGGGTCGGCCTGAGCCCTTGGCTTGGGTCTCACATCCCAACCTTGGCCAGTGTCCTGAAAGCCGGTCTGGCCGGGGTGCCCCGAGGCCAGGCCGCGCCTCCCCTCCCCGCCCCAATAAATAAGCACAGAAGTGGCCACTGCAGCCTCGGCCTCGGAGTGTCCTGACGGGCAGGCAGAGAACTCCCCCCGCCCCTGCCCCGGTCCCGGGGGCTCCTGCAGAGAAGGCAGACGCCCAGGATGGCACACACAGGCCCCCAAGGGGCCTCTTCCTCGCTTCCCAGCAGATCTGTGCCCCCCACCGTCGGCCGGGGGGCTGTGGATTGGTGGGGTGCCTTGCTCGGCAGGGGGAGGAAGGCCCCATCCTTCCTCCCCCCGTCAGGGTTTCCTGTCCTGTCCTGCCATCCTGTTCCAAGAGCCCAGGCCGAGGGCCAGAGCGCAGGTGGGGGCGTCAGTTCCATCTCCCCGAGCGGATCGCCTGCTGGGGCCGCTAATACTCTGGGTAGCGGTTCCCTGCGGGGGGAGGAGGAGGGAGAGAGCAGGGAGGGCGGAGTCAGGTGGGACCGGGCGGAGCCGGCCGAGGGCCCCGCCCACCCGCCAGCGGCGCTCACCCAGGACGTTGAACTTGCACAGCGGGCAGGTCTGCTGCAGCATCAGCCAGCGGTCCACGCAGTCCCGGTGGAACTCGTGCTTGCAGGGCAGCACCCGCAGCCACTGCGGGGAGAGGGGAGGAGGGGAGGGGCTCAGGCCACGCTGCAGGCCTCCGGGGGCTGCCTGGCCCCGGGTCCTCACGCCCCTGGCCGGCCAGGGAACTGAACCCCCAGCGGCCTGCCACCCCCATCCTGCTTCCGGCGTGCGGGTGGGTGGTTCCGAGGTCTGGGGTAGAGGGGAGTCAGGTCGGCCGGTGGCCGGCCGCTGCGGCCGCACCTGCTTGTTGCAGAAGTAGTCCAGGCACACGGCGCAGGTGTCGGCGTCGGCCTCCGGGGGGCCCTGGGCCGCCCTGCCCAGCCGGCAGCGCCGCGTCTTGAGGGAGGCCAGCCTGCGCACCACACGGCGCTTGAGCAGCTCCACCTGGTGGGGGGGCTGGGGGAGGAGAGAACGCGGGCCGTTGAGAGGGCCGAGGGCTGGGGGCTGGGGCCCCACCGCCCTGGGCTGGCTCCCACCTGGCCTTCGGGCTCCTCCTGGCTGTACCAGGCTGCATGCCGCTGCACCTGCACCACCAGGCCGGTGCCCAGGATCAAGGACACCAGCAGGATGGCGTTCCACAGCTGCTGCAGGGGCCTCTGGGGAGGGAGCGGGTGTCAGCGACATGGGCCCTGCCCCCCTTTTCCCCGGCAAACCCACCCCAGGACCAGGCAGGGAGGTCCCTCAGCACCGGAGCCCTCTCCCGGCACCTCCACCTGCCGGCTGCCTGCTCTGTCCTACACATGAGGCCCCTCTGCCCCCAGCCCCAGCCCAGGCCCCTCCTGAGCAGCTGACCCATTGCTGTGGCCCCCTTCCTCCTAGACACCCTTCCCCCATGAGAAACCCAAACCCCTCAGCCTGCCTCAGGCCCCCAACTCCCAGCCCCTCCCTCTGGAGGGTCCCTCGCTCCTTTCCTCCTCTTGTGCCTTCACACACTGCGCCCCTCTGGGGACCCCCTTCCTCCCTGCCCTCCCCTCTCCTTCCTTCCTCACCCCTCCCCTCCCCTCCCCTTCCTCCCTCCCCCTTCCCTCCCCTTCCCTCCCCTTCCCTCCCCTCTCCTCCCTTCTCCTCCTCTCCCCTGCCATGCCCTCCCCCTCCCTTCCCCTCCCCTTCCCTCCTCTCCCCTGTCCTCCCTCCCTCCCCCCCTCCCTGCACGCACCTGCTCCGGGGCCCGGCCCCCTCCTGGGCACACCAGGTCCTGCCAGCCGCCCTGGCCGTCCTTGGACAGGCCGCAGGTGGTCCACAGGGCCAGCTTCCACTCGGTGTTGGTCGATGGGGACACCCCACTGGTGATCTCAGCCGTGGCCTGGGTCCTCCTGGGGGGGGGGGGAGCCGCCACCGAGGAGCTGGACAGAGGGCTCTGGGGAGGTGAGCCCCCGCCCCCCATCGCAGCGCCCCCCGTTATCACTCTGCAGCCCTCTGCTTCGGCCCGGGCCCTCCCCAGCGATAGGTCTCCCCAGGTCTCACCCCAGCCAGGCCGGGGCGGCCCCGGAGCCCGGGAGGAGCCTGCCCATCAGATCCCCGCTTCCCCCTGGCGGGAGCCAGTGCCCCCCACCCACAGCGCGGACTCCTCCTGCAGGCCTGGCCCCTCCTGCAGTCTCCTCGCCCGCCTTCTAGATCATAGGAAAGGCCCTGTCCCCAAGACACCCCTTCCCCCCTCCCCCGCCCCGAGCCCATGGCCGAGCCGGGATCCTCAACACCCAGCCTCCGGCTTGGAGCTCAAACCCACTCACTGCAGCAGGGCGTCCAGCATCTTGGTGGCGTTGGAGGAGTAATGCAGGACCACAATGGGCCTGCGCAGAAGGTGAGCTACGTCCATCTGTGGGGGCACAGGGTGGCCTTGGTCCCCCAGCCCCACCCCACCCCACCCCACCCCACCCCAGCCCAGCCCGAGCGCCCCGAAGCCGCCGCTGGTGTACCTCCCGGACCACGTTCTGTTTCAGGATGATGAGGAGCAGGGTGGAGGCCCCCAGGATGAACGCCCTCCGAATCTGCAGGACAGAGACGGGGCTGGCCGGTGCCCAGCGATGCCCTCCCTGCCCACACTCAGCTCCTGGCCCCGGAGGAGGCATCCTTTCCTCTGGGCGGACCGGCTATAAGCTCCCTCCTTGAGGTCAAGTGCAGACACCCTTATGGGTCCTGCCTCTCCCCCCCCCCCCCCCCCATGCTCTGTGAGACCCAGACATGCTGTGCCCTCCCCGGTCCCAGCAGGGCAGGCCTGCCCTCCTCCACCCGCCTCGGGAACCCCCCATGGGATATTCTCAGAGCCTGGGGGGCGTCCTGACTCATTCTGGCCCCCCCCCACCTCCCCCTCTCCCACACACACACCTGTTTCTACACCACACTGACTCCATTCTCCAAACCCGGGTCCCCGGCCCCACCCAGGCCTAGGGGTTTTCTGGAAGCTCCTTCGGGTCCCACTTGGCGGTCTGGCTCTAAGCAAGTGCCTCGAAGTCCCCTCCTCCCGCGCCCTCCCCCACATCCATCCCGGCACCTGATGCAGCAGGTTCCTGGGGTAGTTCCACACGTCGCCGCTCTGGGCCCCCGGCGGGAGCAGGGCCACGTGCTCCTCGCCCACGTAGACCACGGCGATCCAGTCTTCCCCCAGCCCCTCCTCATCCGCACCCACGTTGTCCATCTGCGGGGCCGCGGGCCGCGGGCAGGGGGAGGAGAGGCCGTTAGGAGGAGGATGCCAGGCCGCGGTGTGGGACCGAGTGTGCAAGGGAAGGAAGGCATCTGGACCCCAGGCTTTAGAAGCCGGGATGCTGGGGGCCTGGGCGGGCTGGGAGGGGGCTCCGGGCCGCCGTTCGGGGGGGAGGCCGGATCTGGGCGCGGGGGGTGGGGGGGTGTCCGCGTCCCCAGGAGGCCGGGCCAGGTGGCCGGCGGGGCGGCGCTCACCAGCAGCAGCCGGCCGCGCAGCGGGGTCTCCGGGTCGGCCTCGGGGCCCATCGAGAAGCCCTCCACGACCAGGTCGTCCTGCTGCTGCAGCCGCACGTCCACCCGCACGGCGCGGGCCCTGCCCCGCCCCGCCCGGCCCGCGGGGTCGGCCGCGGCGCCCGGCCCGGCCAGGCCCAGCCAGACCGGCACCAGCGGCAGCAGCGGCACCAGCAGCACCACCAGCGGCGGCAGCGACTGAGGGGGCGGCGGCGGCGGCGGCCGCCTCGGCGCGCGGCGGGCGGCGGGGTCCATGGCGGGACCGGCAAACAGCGGAGACCGGGGCGCCGGGGCCCTGGTCGCTGGGGCAGCGGAGCGAGCGAGGCCTCGGCCGTCGGGGCGGGGCGAGCGTCTGGAGGGGGCGTGGCCGAGGCCGGACGGGGCGGGGAGAACGTCTGGAGGGGCGTGGCGGAGGCGTGACAGGGCGGGGCGTCGGATGGGGGCGGGGCCGAGGCCGGCCGGGGCGGGGCCAGGGAGAGGGCTGGCCTCTCGGCGGCTCTGGCGCCCCCTGGCGGCCGCGGAGAACGCTGGCGCAGGTGGCCTGGGAGACATGGTCGCCCTGGCAGGAGCGGGAGGTCAGGGAGGAGGCGCTCGCAGCCTGTTGGATTGTCAAGAAGCCTAGCTAGGACAGAGGGAAGCAAGAGAGATGGTTGGAAGGGGTGACCTGTGTGTGTTGAGGGGGCGGTTGGGGCGGAGCGGAGACTGATCAGGGCTGGAGGAGGGTAGGAAGGAGTGATGTCTAGGTCCAGGAGGATGGAGGTTCCACCGTCACCTGATGGATGGTCCCTCCCTGGGGCCTGGGTCAGATGGTATCCCTCTCTTCCCTGCGCCCCTATCTCCGCCCCCCTCCTCCCCCCGGCCAGACCAAACTCCAGGAGGCGGAGAACCCGAGATTGGCATGGGAGGCAGGATACATGCCCTTGAGTGGAATCGAACTTGGGAGCCCTACTGCATATCGCACACAAGATACCAAGTTCAGGTGGATTAGAGACCTAGATGTGGAAAGTCTGAAACATTTGTACAAAGAAACGTAGGAGAATATCTTGATTCCCTGAAGGGCAGGAGAGACTTCTTAATCCGGAGAAGCAGATTGTAAAGAAAAAGACTGGGAAAAAAAAATCATTAACAGTAAAATGAAAAACTGTCAGTCAAAACCTGCAACCTTTTGGTGCATAGGATCATGCTCCGATCAACTGAGCCACCCGGCCAGGGCCCGTAACTGTTTTTAAAAATATATATATTTCTTTATGGGTTTCAGAGAAGAAGGGAGAAGGAGAGAGAGATAGAAACATCAATGATGAGAGAGAATCTGCCTCCTGCACACCCCACACTGGGAATTGAGCCCATAACCCAGGCATGTGCCCTCGGCCAGAATCGAACCTGGAGGGAGAGCAATTGTGGGCAATCAGTCCACAGGCTGATGCTCTATCCCCTGAGCCACCCGGCCAGGGCCCGTGACTATTTCTAAAACCGGCAATTTGTGCTTCTTCGTCTCTTCCAACTCTTCCACCCATCCCCCCGCCTGCCTCCCATCTGGCACACATCAGTTTGCTCTCTGTATCTCTGAGTTTGTTTCTGTTCTGTTTGTCCATTTATTTTTTATTTATTTATTTTTATTCCACATGTAAGTGAAATCATATGGTATCTGTCTTTCTCACCATGGATATCGTAATACCATTCAAGTCCCCAGATGGACAGACAGAATGCTCAGCCAGAGGAGCCAAGCCCCGGGTCCCTCCCAGCCTGCTTCGCCTCCGAGGCCTGGCGGGGAGCTGGCTGGGGGGGGGGGGGGGGACTGCCCCCACCACGTACCTCTGGGCCAGCCAATTCCCTTTGCCTGGCCTGTGTCACCGGTGAAGCGGGAGCCTCACAGATTTAGGGCAGGGCCCTCTCCGGAGACACGCTGGGGTCTTGGGGTCTAGGCTCCTTTGGAGCTCCCCTCTGCCCCCCTCTCTCCCGAAGGACCTAGAAATGAATGAAACTGTTAATGGAAGGGCGAGGCGAGGGGTGTGTTACCCCAAATGGGAACAGAGTAGGGGCGATGGAATGGTTTAGACTCAATGCCAGGAACAGGGGGTGTGAGGGGGCCGTGGATTCCCTGGGCACGAGATGGGCTCTTCCGGGTGGCACCCAGCTGTGCTCAACAGACAAGAGCCCGTGGACCACGGCGCTGGCAGGGGGAGGAGGGCAGGGAAATCCAGAGCTTGAACCCTGGCCTCCTGAGAAGCAGGGGCCCATGCACTTAAGTGGCCACCAGGTGGCAGGCTAGTCCACGGAGACGGGGCCACATTGGGGCTGGCGCCGGTCTCTGCTGTTTGTTTTTACAGAGGCCTGAGGGGGGCAGAGCCTGGCTCACAGCAATGTTCCCGGCCAGGGGGCTGTATCACAGAACCTTGGGGGCTCCAGAGACCCCCTTCACTGCGGCCATGAGTCCCGGACATAGAGCAAATTGTCTTCAAGAAACCCTCGCCCGGCCGGCCTGGCTCAGAGGTTGAGCATCCATCCAGCGATGAACCAGGAGGAAACGGTTTGATTCCTCAGTGGGGGGCTTGCAGGAGGCAGCTGTTCCATGATTCTCTCTCTTCGTGGATGTTTCTATCTTTCTCTCCCCTCTCCCTTCCTCTCTCTGGAATCAATACAAAAATATTTTTTAAAAATAAATAAATCTGGATTCTATCTTGAATGCAGGGAGTTGGGGTGGAAAGGACCCCACACTTCCTGACGGAGGGCTTGAGCCAGCTGGTGTCAGAGCTGGGGCAGGGCTCCAGTCCCTCCCCTTCGCCCCTCCTCTCCCCTCCCCGCCCTAACCCTCTGGGGGAGATCTTTTATCTTTTTTTTTTTTTTTAATATATATTTTATTGATTTTTTACAGAGAGGAAGAAAGAGGGATAGAGAGTTAAAATGTTTCCCTATCATGCCAAAGCCGGTTTAGCTCAGTGGATAGAGCATCGGCCTGCAGACTGAAGGGTCCCGGGTTCGAATCCGGTCAAGGGCATGTACCTTGGTTGCGGGCGCATCCCCGGTGGGGGGTGTGCAGGAGGCAACTGATCAATGATTCTCTCTCATCAATGTTTCTAATTCTCTATCCCTCTCTCTTCCTCTCTGTAAAAAGTCAATAAAATATATATATATATATATATATATATATATATATATATATATATATATATAAAATGTTTCCCTATCATGGATCAGCTGCCTCCTGCACGCCCGCTACTGGGGATGTGCCTGCAACCAAGGTACATGCCCTTGGCAGGAATCGAACCTGGGACCTTTCAGTCCGCAGGCCAACACTCTAACCACTGGGCCACACCGATTTTGGCAAGGGGGGGAGTTCTTTTATATTTTTTCATTTTGTTTCTATGACAGTTTACAATCAATATTGCTTTGCATTGGTTTCCGGTGTCCAGCGCAGTGGTTAGACTGTACAAAGCGTTCTGCGCCCCCCCCCCCCAATGATATTTATTTACAGTGCCCGTCTGACACTGTACACAACCTTTACAGTATTATTCACTGTATTTCCTACGGCAAACTCATCAGTCCGCAGAGCCAAATATCAGCGGTGCGATGGGCATTTCTCTGGAGAGCCACATTTTTTAAACTTAAACTTCTTCTAACGCCACTTCTTCAACATAGACTCGCCCAGGCCATGGTGTTTTGTGGAAGAGCCACCCTCAAGGGGCCAGAGAGCCGCAGGTGGCTCGCGAGTCGCAGTTTGCCCACCACGGTCCTATGCTGTCCTCTACATCCCATGACTATGTCGCAACCACCGATCTGTTCTTCTCAGTCCCTTTGCCCGCCTCCACCCAGCTCCCCGCCCCCCAGGCCCCCAGCCCTCCAGCCCCCCAGGCCCCCAGCCCCCCAGGCCCCCAGCCTCCCAGCCCCCCAGTCCCCCCAACCCCCCAGCCCCCCAGCCCCCGGGGAGCCCCAGCTCCCTGCCCCCCCCCCCTGCCCCGCCTCTGTGCTCACGGGGAACTGGGCCACCTCGCCCTAAAGGGATTGGGGCCCAGGAGACAACCGGAGCCCGGTGAGAAAGGGCTTAGGGATTAGACGCGGATATCTGGGAAGGGAAGGGACTTAAGGGGGTGGGGTGCGGGCGTGGGAAGCGGGCGGGAGAGGATCGTGTCCGCAGAGCCCGGTGGACTGCGGAAAGGAGGGGGAGCAGCCCCTGGGAGGAGCCCGGCTCGGTTTCTCGGTTTCTCGGGTTCTGTTGTGTCTCCAGGAACAACGCCTGAGGGTGTTAACCTCCCGCACAGGTGCAGCCCTCACTCCCAGCCGCCACTGCTCTCCGGTTCTCAGGGGCCCTGGGAGGGAGGCGGGGATCACATCTCTCCCCAAATGACCAGCCTCGGTCAATAGGAGGCCCTGGCAGGACGGCCTGCCGCCGTCCCTGCTCCCTGCCCGGTCTGGCGCGTCCCGGCTCAGCATAGCCTCCCCCCTCCAAAGATCCTTCTAGACGCCTCCTGATTCTTTACCGGCCCCCACAGCCCAATCTGAATCTGGGCGTGCTCCCTCCCCCCAGTTCCACAGGGACAGTTTTATTGTATTGTATTGTATTTCTATATTTTATTTATTTATTTTATTTCTATATTTTTAATTTTTTTTTCTGCCCTGACTGGGTTGGCTCAGTGGACAGGGCATCGGCCTTTGGACTGAAGGGTCCCAGGTTCGGTTCCGGTCAAGGGCATGTACCTTGGTTGTGGGCACATCCCCAGTAGGGGCTGTGCAGGAGGCAGCTGATGGATGTTTCTGACTCTCTGTCCCTCTCCCTTCCTCTCTGTCAAAAATCAATAAAATATTTTTTAAAATATATTTTATAGATTTTTTTTTTACAGAGAGGAAGAGAGAGGAGGGATAGTTAGAAACATCGATGAGAGAGAATCATCAATCAGCTGCCTCCTGTACACTCCCTACTGGGGATGTGTCCCCAACCAAGGTATTTGCCCTTTACCGGAATCCAACCCTGGACCTTTCAGTCCGCAGACCGACGCTCTACCACTGAGCCACACTGGTTTCGGCAATAAAATATATTTTAAAAATCTTATTTATTTATTTATAGATTAGTGAGAGAGAGGGAGGGAGCGCGAGAGAGAAAAACCTCAATGTGTTGCTCCACGTATTGATGCGTTCATTCTTTGCTTCTTGTATGTACCCTGGCTGGGGGGTTGAACCTGCAACCTTGGCATATGGGGACCGAGCGCTAACCAGCTGAGCTCCCTGGCCGCGGCCACAGAGCCCAGGTGAACATGGGCTGAATGAATGAATGAATGGATGGGCGAGTAAGTGATTGACAAGGCCTCCTGCCCCCTCTCCCCCGGCTGACTCCTGCTCAGCCGTCAGTTCTGGGGGA